CAGAGAGTTCCACTGCTGAACGGCTCTCACAGTCAGGAAGTTCTTCCTAATGTTCAGATGGAATCTCCTTTCTTGTAGTTTGAAGCCAAATAGATGGTTATTTGCAGGATAAACATCTCGGTCACAACCAATATACTTTTGTAAATTTCCAGTAGTTCTCCATTTTACTCCTGCAGAGATATAGAAAGCTTGAGGTGTACACATTGGTAAGAAACATTAGCATAAGCTGCCTCTGGCATGTCACTGTATGTGTTTCTTTTTCCCTGCACTGTCAGCACACCCTCTTCACACATCGCTGTGTTGCTGTAAACGGGTGATCTAGTGAAGTTCCAGAGGGAATAAAGAAGAAATAATGAGACTTTCTGGATTTGGAGGAAGGCCTTCTCAAAGTATGAGGAATATGAATGTTTTTTTGCCACCAGACTCTTACATTAAAGATTTCCTATAATAGACACATACAAAACAAAAGCACTTGCCTTATTTTAAATATAAATTCACACCATAGCCTGTGCTGCACAATGCCGCATTGCATTGTTCTGAGGGTTATTTTTAGGTTTTGCTAAGACATGCTAGATAGAGTGGTGTCCTCAATGAAACAATAAGAGCTGCAGTATAGTACAGGTAGATACTAAATAATTTAGCAGGCCAATTTGAAGATTCAGAGGTCTTGTTCTATTAACTATTAAGCCATGGAGGCACAAGTAAGAGTTTATCAGAAAATGATTAGATCAGAAGGGTTGTTGTTAGCTTCGACCATAGCTGAATTTATTTTACTTTATTTTTTTTAATGCCCAATTTTTCTTTTACCTCTACTTTTATAGTTAATGGTTTACTTTTCCTGTAAGAGATTTGCATTTGTTACTCATGGTTTTTGCAACATCTGTGACTGAGAATAATGATCCATTTGCTTAATTTCTGATATTTTAAGGCCTAGCTAATGATCTGATTTTTTGAAAGGCAAAGCAAAACTCAGCAATTCTAGGAAAAATATCTATACATGAACAATTAACATGTTGTATGTTCTTTAATAGTTTAGCTATTCTCTGTTATTTTATAATATTTATTTATAATTAATAACTGCTATGTTTAGGATTATTAACAAGATGTTTATACTTGAGTATAAGCCAACCCGAATATAAGCTGAGGCACCTAATTTTACCACAACAAACTGAGAAAACGGATTGACTCGAGTATAAGCCGAGGGTGGGAAATGCAGGCGCTACGGATAAATTGCAAAATAAAAATAGATACCAATTAAATTACATTAATTGAGGAATTAGTAGGTTATACAGGGTTAGTCAAAATGAATAGGCCAATAAGAAAATTAATTTTAGACGAATGTATGTTTACTGTAACCAAACCACAGCTACGTAGCGACAGATAAACTATCAAAGTTTTTTTTGAGCAACACACATGTACGTTAATGCTGCTAGGCGTCGCTAGGGGTCGCTGTTTGCAAAATGGCGGAATCAAGCAAAGAGAAGGCGTTTTGTGTGATGACATTTGCTAAAACAATGTCAGTAATTACGGTCCAGCGAGAATTTCAAGGGTTAGGGTTAGGGTTAGGGTTAGGGTTAGGGTTAGGGTTAGGGATAGGGTTAGGGATAGGGATAGGGTTAGGAGGGTTAGGGTTAGGGATAGGGATAGGGTTAGGGTTAGGGATAGGGTTAGGGTTAGGGTTAGGGTTAGGACCTCAACGAACACCTTCCCAGACGTTGCTGCATTCGATGCCATTACGTCGGATGTGCTGCAACGGATGTGGAATGAACTGGACTATCGCTTGGACATCTGCCGTGTCACACGGGGCGCCCATATCGAACATCTCTGAAGGTGAGACAAAACTTTGATAGTTTATCTGTCGCTACGTAGCTGTAGTTTGGTTACAATAAACATACATTCGTCTAAAATTAATTTTCTTATTGGCCTATTCATTTTGACTAACCCTGTATATTTTTGAATATTTACAAAAATGGTAATTTAAGATAAGACTGTCCAACTCTGATTAAATGATTATTTACCTTCTTCAATGTAAATGTGCTTATGTATCCTTCCAATAATAATAGAGTAACATAATAAATGCAATAACAATAATAAAAAGAGTAAAATAATGAATGTAGGAATAACAATTATACAGTAAAATAATCAATGTATAACAATAGAGTAAAATAATAAATGTAATAATAAATAGAATAAAATAATAAATGAAATGGAAATAATAATAATAATAACAGAGTAAAATAATAAATAACCTTGACTCGAGTATAAGCCGGGGGGGGGGGGGGGACTTTTTCAGCCATCCCAACGTGACTTACTCCATATACCGGGTCCTAGAGAAGTGCACTTGGAAAGGACCAGACGCAGGGCTTTTTCTATTTCTGCCCCTGCCTTGTGGAATTCCTTGCCGCCCTACATGAGAGCCATGCATGACTTAGGGCCTTTTACTCTCACACTTAAGAACTGGTTTTTTACTAGAGCATTCGATCTCTGTTAATTTTTAATTTTTTATGTATGTATTTTATCTTTTATAATTTAGCTGTAAATCGCCTAGAGCATTCTCGGATGGAGGGCAATTAATAAGTTATTAAATGATAATGATGATGAGGATGAGGATGATGATGATGATGATGATGATGATGATGATGATGATGATGATAAAGAAATGGAGACCTTTTGCTCTGCCAAGAAAGACGTGGGTAACCTGGACCTCAATTGCCATTAGAGCCCTGGCCATTTGCTTTGGTTGCTCTTCACACCCAACTGGCCCTGGTGCTTGAGGGGAACAATTGTGCCCCCCCCTTTCACTATTCTCCCCTCTGTGAGTCATCTCAGGAAGGGGGAGCATATTGACTCTTGAGTTTAATTCATTCAGTGACTGAGCTCTTAACTCAAAATGCTCTTATCACAAAGTGAAATGCATTGAAATCTTATTAATCAGTTCCAGCCAAACATACCAGGAAAAAAACCACATGAAATCAACTAACCTAAAGTTCCTTAAACCAGACAAGAGCAAAACAGATAGCAATCTCCCAAAGCAGTTGAGAGCACGAGGCATGGAGGCTGCTCCCTTGAAGCCCTAAAGCCCTGTACTCTTGTGCTAGTGCTCCCTCTGGCATTAGCTTTTAACTCAAAATGCTGCTCTTAAGTTAAATTGAAACCTGGGTCAAGCGACAGCTCTTAACTCAAAATACTCTTAAGTGGGAGTGCTCTTTAGTCAAGATTCCACTGTATAAGGTCGCTACAACTTGCGGATTGACATATTCACATGAAGTCCTGGAAGGTGTCCCCTACAGATATGGAAATGGCACTGTAAATAAAGAAATAATAAAGATGATGATGATGATAAACTTTATTCGATCTCTGTTAATTTTTAATTTCTGTATGTATGTATTTTATCTTTTACAATTTAGCTGTAAATCGCCTAGAGCAGGGGTCCTCAAACTAAGGCCCAGGGGCCAGATATGGCCCTCCAAGGTCATTTACCCGGCCCTCGCTCAGGGTCAACCTAAGTCTGAAACAACTTGAAAGCACACAAAAACAACAACAATCCTATCTCATCAGCCAAAAGCAGGCCCACACTTTGCATTGAAATACTAATAAGTTTATATTTGTTAAAATTGTTCTTCATTTTAATTATTGTATTGTTTAAGTGATTTTGCACTACAAATGAGATATATGCAGTGTGCATAGGAATTCATTCATGTTTTTTCAAATTATAATCCGGCCCTCCAACAGTTTGAGGGACTGTGACCTGGCCCTCTGTTTAAAAAGTTTGTGGACCCCTGGCCTAGAGCATTCTCGGATGGAGGGCGATTAATAAGTAATTAAATAGGAGGAGGATGATTTTTACCCCTCTACCATCTCCCCAAGGGACTCAGTGCGGCTTACATGAGGCCAAGCCCACAGCACATCAATAAACAAAGGGAATAACAAATAATCAATGCAAACAGGTAAAATAAATAAATAAATCTCAAAAACAAAAAAATACACGATAATAAGCAATAAACAATAACAATAAAACATACAGCATTTAAAAAACCTATGGCCGGGCCAAATGTAATAATTAAAATTTAAAATGCTGGACATGAACAAGGAGGTAAACTAATTTTAAAGATTTTTTTTTTTTTTTTTTAGAATAGGGTTTTCAGAGAAAGATGAGGGCATGCAGACAATCCTAAATCAATATTAAAGTCCATTTGAGGACATATTGCTAAGAGTTTTCCTTAGTCTGGGAAGGCACACTGGAACAACCATGTTTTCAGGCTCCTCCTAAAGACTACCAGCGTTGGGGCATGTCTGATGTCCTCAGAGAATGAATTCCAGAGTCGAGGGGCTAACACCGAGAAGGCCCTCTCCCTCGTCCCCACCAATCGCGATATTAGGTTAGGTTGGAACAGAAGAAACCAAATTCTTTCTTTTCATCTCTTCCCAATTTAAGGAATCAAAGTGCCTAGTTTATATGTAATGAAGATGCAATGTGTAAATGAGACAAGCGCATTGGAAAGCATGCACAATCCAGCTACATTCAGCAGAACCAGAATTGGCAATAACTGTTTTGAGTGTGTATTTGGTGGCAAATTTGGCTTTTCTGCCACATACTGTGTGAAACATTTCCTCAGAGATAGTTGTTGGATCATCTCGGTATCTCCTGACATTCTATGTTCTGTTAAATGGTTTGGCAGCTACCTAACTTTTCTCTGCAAATGAGGGTTTGGCATGTGGTGATGAGAACAGAAAGCAGCCAATTCCCAACTGCAGTGGCTGCTGTCCAATTTGGCTATTGATCAGCTCCTCTTCAGACATGATATCTCTGTCAACTACAGGATAAAGAGGGCTTTTATTGATGAAGGTAGACGTTTTAAAGGAACTTTGCATGTGTATGATATGTACTCTAAAACCTGGTCTTTATGCATCTTTCAAAAATGCTTGGAATGTAACCAACCCCTCTCTCTCTTATTTCTGAAAGATTGGCATATAATTTAAAATAAACATATTTATTTCAGATCTGATGTGGTTGTCCTGTGCTTTTCCATTGCTAATCCTAACTCCCTGAATCATGTGAAAACTATGTGGTGTCAAGAAATCAAGCACTTCTGTCCTCGTACACCTGTTATTCTGGTTGGTTGCCAGTTGGATCTTCGGTACGCTGATCTGGAAGCTGTAAACCGAGCCAGAAGGCCATTAGCAAGGTAAAGTTGGCAAAAAGAATGAATAACATTTCCCCATTTGTACGTATCTCAACTTCTGTGGACTATATAGTTAGGCTTGGGCAATCCATGGTTCTAAATGGTTCTAAAGTACTTACAAAACTAAAGTTCTGGTGATGAAAATTTCAAAACTCTAACAAAACTCTCAAAATTTCATTATAAATGGCAGTTCCTAATTGGTTCTGTCATAAAAATCGCCAATAATGAAATAATAATTACATTTTGAAAGTTTTGTTAGAGTTCTGAAATTTTCACCACCAGAACTTTAGTTTTGTAAGTACTTTAGAACCATTTAGACCCATGGATTGCCCAAGCCTACTATATAGTCTTCCATAGAATGTTCAGGAAAACAAAGTTTGGTTTACAACTCTGAGAATTATGCTTCATTAGCATAACTTTTACAAACTCTAATCTTCTGCCATGTGAAAGTGTTAGATATAGATTGAATTAAGTTATTTGTCAGTCTCTGGAACAATACTCTGTTCTATCTGGGATTCGATCTTCAAGTCTCAGGCCCCTTCTACACTGCCTTATAAAATCCAGATCATCTGCTTTGAACTGGATTATCTAGTAGTGTAGACTCATACAATAATATATCTATCCGAATGCATCTCTTCCTATGAACCCACCAGGAACTTGAGATCGTCGGAGGAGGTCCTGCTCTCGATCCTGCTTGCTTTGCAAGCACGTTTGGCGGGGAAGAGAGACAGGGCCTTCTCTGTGGCGGCCCCTCAGCTGTGGAACTCTCTCCTAGGGATATTAGATCAGCCCCCTCCCTCCTGACCTTATGAAAAAGAGTGAAAACTTGACTCTTCGAGCAAGCATTTGGAACCTCAGGATAAACAGACAAACTTGACTCGGAAAATGACCCAGGAATGGCCAAGACGATGGAACGGATGAGGATTTGAACAAGAGGACACCGTTTTTAAATTTTTTTATTATTCATTGTTTTTACGTTTCTAAATGTATTATAATGTTTCTTTTTTTGCTTTTTATCAATGTGTGCATTTTATATATGGCATCGAATTGTGCTGACTTTGTATGCCGCCCTGAGTCGCCTTCGGACTGATATGGGTGGGATAGAAATAATGTAAATAAATAAAATATATATATAATTCAATTCAAAGCAGATAATGTGGGTTATTTGCTTTGATAATCTGGATTATATGGCAGTGTAGAAGGGGCCTCGGCCAGTCTTTTAGCTCCCTGAAATCTTGTAACTTGAATGAACCTCTTGAATGCAAATACCCTCTGTTCTGTCTTGGATCCTCTTTCACTTTTTTGCATGTCTTAAAATTGGCAGCAACCGTTCAGAACAGGTTGCCCAATCTGATCTCAAAGGTCTGTTTCTCAACTTTTTAAGCAGACCTGCTTCCTGTTTCTCAAAGGAAACTTTGTTTTCCATCAAATAACACAAAGTTCCTATTGTGTGGACTAGTGTTTAAAACCAAGTTGTAACCTGAGAACCTTTGATTAGACTGAAGAACAAGAGACTTAGTTTAGATGGTAGCTACTCAGATTGTTTTTAGACCTCTGTAATTGGAGCTTGAATGAAGGAACCCTTGTCCTTCCTACATTCCTGCTAGGTGGTATTTTCAGATTATTTCCTCTGAATGTCACAACATGAGAATTCACTTCAGTAAATTTGTATAGTTCCTTAAACACCTTTAAAACTGGTGACCATCATCACTTTCTGTGGCCATAAACTCCATATAGTTTACTTCATGTTGTGTCAAAGTGTGTTTTTGTAATCAAAGTCCAAGAGAATCTGGACTTTAGGTTGAATTTGGTGGAAGCCACTGTAAAATAAATATTAGCAATTTGGAATGGCTTTGCAGAATTGGTCACTCTTTCAGATAGGCAACAGGGAGAGAATTTAAATAAGTTAAAACCAAAATAGTATTACTGTATATACTCAAGTATAAGCCTATTTTTTCAGCCACTTTTTTAGGCCGAAAAAGCCCCCCTCGGCTTATACTCAAGCCAAAGTTATTCATTATTTTACTCTGTTATTTTATTTATTTATTTATTTATTTATTTATTGGACTTGTATACCGCCACTCCCAATTTGGTTCGGAGTGGTTTACAGCAGTAGATTAAAACAATACAACCAACTTTAAAATACAATAAAAACGAGAACCAACATAGTCCCGAGTTATCCACCCATCGAAAGCTTGTTGGAAAAGAAAGGTCTTACAGGCTGTCTGAAAAGCAAGTAGTTCTCGGATGGTTCGGGTTTCAACTGGCAAGGCATTCCATAAATATTAGTATTATTTTTATTATATTTATTTTATTACTCTTATTATTTTATTACATTTATTATTTTACTCTATTATTATCAAATGTATTATTTTACTCTATCATTTTGGATATTATTACATTTGCATTATTTTACTCTATTATTTTTATTACATGTATTATTTTATTCTCTATTATTACATTTATTATTTTAAACTATTTATCATTGTTACTATTACATGTATTATTTATTATGATTGGAAGGATATGTAAGCACATTTACATTGAAGGAGGCTAGAATAATGGTTTTATCAGAGTTGGACAGTCTTAAATTACAGTTTTATGTAAATATTAAACAACAGTGAACCTCCTGAGGCCTCAATTAATGTAATTTTATTGGTATCTATTTTTATTTTGAAATTGACCAGTAGTGGCTGCATTTCCCACCCTCGGCTTATACTCGAGCCAATATGTTTTCCAGTTTTTGTGGTAAAATTAGGTGCCTCGGCTCATATTCGGGTCGGCTTATACTTGAGTATATACGGTACATATAATTCCATATTGGGAGGTAGAAATATTGTGCTACTCTTCAACTATTGTCAGAAATATTCCTGAAGTTTCCTTAATTTAGCTACAATTTGTTCTGTTTCGTTGCAGTTCTTCTCAGTATAAATGAAGGGAACTGGGTAGTTAATGAATAATTAAAAGGATAAAAAATATTAATCTTACTCTGGGGGCTGTTATTGTGAAACAGTAACTTCAAAATAACATCAAGCAATTTCTAAAGGCATCTCCTTACATAAAAGGCTCTTAAACTATGGGTGAGGTAGGAAATAATTGAGGCTGTGAGCAAATTGCATCTACATCCAGTGAGCCTTTGCATATCTGTTGAATAACAGGGGGAAAAGAAGTGCAAATGGGATTAAGCCAAGAAGTGCTTTGATGGGATGCTAAAGATACATAGAAGTAATTAGTTGAGGCTTGGAAGCTGGATCTAGTTCATTTATGCTGCTTTGTTTGTTTCATTCACAGGCCTATCAAGAGAGGAGATATTTTACCACCAGAAAGAGGAAGAGAGGTTGCAAAGGAACTTGGAATACCGTATTATGAAACTAGCGTATTTGATCAGTTTGGCATCAAGGATGTGTTTGATAATGCAATCAGAGCTGCCTTGATCTCCAGGCGGCACCTACAGTTCTGGAAATCCCATCTGAAGAAAGTTCAGAAACCTTTACTTCAGGCTCCATTTCTACCTCCAAAGGCACCTCCTCCGGTTATCAAAATCCCAGAGTGTCCTGTCACCAGTATCAATGAAGCCGGATACTTATTAGACAATCCATTGTGCGCTGATGTCATGTTTATCCTTCAGGAACAGACTTACATTTTTGCTCACAAGATCTACTTAGCTACCTCCTCTTCAAAGTTTTATGACCTTTTTCTAATGGAATGCGAAGAAACCCCAGACATACCTGAAGCACATTGTCATAAAGAAAAGGCTGGGAGAAGCCTGATGGACAGAGCATGCAGCCTTGAAACAGATGATAGTAGTGAAGTGGTAACCTTAAAATCTCCCAGCACCAAACTAGTATCATCAGCAGATGGTAGCAGCCCTTTAACAAGGTTAGAACTCGAAGTGGGGGAAACCAGCTGCTTGAAGCAAGCTCCAACGTTTTGGGGCAAAGGCTTTGTTAGCATGCATAAAGAGATGCAAGTCAACCCTGTTTCAAAGAGGACGTGTGCTGTGACAGTTGTCAAGATAGATCCGTCTGTTCAGTCTGGACCTTTTAAAACTGTTTTGCAGTTTTTATACACAGGACAGCTAGATGAAAATGAAAAAGATCTCACCAGAGTAGCTCAGATTGCTGAGATCCTGGAAGTATTTGACTTGCGAATGATGGTGGAGAACATTACAAATAAGGAAGCCTTCATGAACCAGGAAATTACAAAGGCTTTCCACGTCAGAAAGGCTAATAGGATAAAAGAATGTCTCAGTAAAGAAACATTCTCTGGTGAGTATGCTGGGATATCGCCCGATTCACCCCATCAGTTAATCTAAAACAATCCTTTCAGAAAACACTATGTAACATGATGTTTGTTCCTGGGTTATAAATGCCATTTCATAATTGGTTCTATCATAAAAATACGGGAAAAGTTTATTTAAATGCAAAAATGGTACAACAACTACTTTCAAAGAAAGTACCACTCTATTTAACAGGAAATAAGCTTTCAAACCAGGAACAGAAAATGTTTAAAGTTTTGTTACATAGTGTAACAGTTTAATGTGCAAAGCAATCCTTACATGAGAGCCCAAAGGAGTCACAGGCAAAGCCTTTCAGATAGAGCAGCTCTGTAGCACAGCCCCATGGAGGGCGACTAAAATGATCAAGGGTCTAGAAAACATCATCATCATTTAATTGCTTATTAATCGCCCTCCATCCAAGATGATCTAGGCGATTTACAAGCTAAAATTGTAAAGGATAAAAATACATACATACAGATATTGATAACATTAACAAAGATCAAAAGCTCTAGTAAAAAGCCAAGTCTTAAGTGCTAGGGTAAAAGGCCCTAACTCACGAATGGCTCTCATATATAGAACAAGCCCTATGAGGAGTGGCTTAAGGAGCTGGACATGTTTAGCCTGAAGAAGAGAAGGCTGAGAGGAGATATGATAACCATGTATAAATATGTGAGAGGAAGCCACAGGGAGGAGGGAGCAAGCTTGTTTTCTGCTTCCCTGGAGACTAGGACGCGAAACAATGGCTTCAAACTACAAGAAAGGAGATTCCATCTGAACATAAGGAAGAACTTCCTGACTGTGAGAGCCGTTCAGCAGTGGAACTCTCTGCCCCGGAGTATGGTGGAGGCTCCTTCTTTGGAAGCTTTTAAACAGAGGCTGGATGGCCATCTGTCAGGGGTGCTTTGAATGCAATATTCCTGCTATAGGGCCATGTTCTAGAACCTAGTGATTCCAGCCATGAAAGCCTTCGACAATACAATATTCCTGCTTCTTGGCAGGGCATTGGACTGGATGGCCCATGAGGTCTCTTCCAACTCTTTGATTCTATGATTCTATGGAGAATGTAAAAAGGAACTGGTTTTTATCTTGACCAGGAGTCCTCAAACTAAGGCCCGAGGGTCGGATACAGCCCTCCAAGGTCATTTACCCAGCCCTTGCTCAGGGTCAACCTAAGTCTGAAATGTCTTGAAAGCACACAACAACAACAATCCTATCTGATCAGCCAAAAGCAGGCTCACACTTCCCATTGAAATACTAATAAGTTTATATTTGTTAAAACTGTTCTTCATTTTAATTATTGTATTGTTCTTAAGTGTGTTTTGCACTACAAATAAGATGTGTGCAGTGTGCATAGGAATTCTTTTTTTTTCTTTTCAAATTATAATCTGGCCCTCCAACAGTTTGAGGGAATGTGACCTGGCCCTCTGTTTAAAAAGTTTAAGGACCCCTGATCTTGACTCATGCTGCAGGGATTCCTGTGAGCAAAGCAGCTGAAAAACATACACTCACACACATTATTCCCAGGAACTTGACTTGTGCACAGCTTCCCTCTATGATGTTGGGGCCTTGAGCTCTACTCTATACGAAGGACTGCTGTGTGTATTGGAATCACAGTACAGTAGATCATAGAGCTGGATTCAAACTGCACATAGCATCTAATGACAAAACATGCAATTCAACAATTCAACCCAATGAGTTCATAACTAGTAATTGCATAGAAGAGTGTGTTGGGACATGTCTTTTTAAAGCAGATAGCAGGCTCAGTCCCAAACACCAACAAGAGCAATGGATTCAAACTACAATAAAAGAGATTCCACCAAAACATTGTGAAGAACTTTTAAAAGACACCATCTATCGTCAATCCTCCTATGTAGTTACTAGACATGAACTGATTGTGATGAATTGCATGAAAATGCATTGTGTCAGATGCTCTGTACTGCCTGCTGACTAGCTTAAAAATGTTGACTAGCTGAAATCACTTGCCTATGACATGTGCAAAGGAGAGTGTGATGTGTGAAATCCAAGGGCCACTTTTAGCCGCAGGATCTACACTGCCCTATATCTCAGGATCTGATCACAGATTATCTGCTTTGAACTGAATTATATGATTCTACACTTCCAGATAATCTGCGATAAGAATCTGGGATATAGGGCAGTGTAGATCCAGCCGGTGTTGGCTGTTTCACTCTCAAGAAATTAAACACAAGCTGACATCTAGTTCTGCGAAAACAGTTTTAAGATGAAGTGAGGTAGTGTGTATATATATATATATATACACATATGCTTTATTTTACAGGTGTACTGCTGCTACTCCTTGAGGTTTCCCAGAGCAGCAGTTTTTTTAATCTCTACCGACTTTGACCCACTCTCAGCTTGGAAACATGGGTTTCCTGGCAACCTCAAGAAGCCACACATGGACAGAGGCCCTATGCCCAACCCATGTTGCCTACCCTTGACATAAAGGAAACCCTTAATGGCCGGATTTTATTAAGCAAATATTGCTGTTTTTTTTTTTTTTTACTTCTGTGGAGTCCAGGGTTTAAATTGCTATCTGTTTCTCATTTGAAACAAAAACAAAAACACGGTGTACTGTCGAAGGCTTTCATGGCTGGAATCACTAGGTTCTTGTGGGTTTTTTCGGGCTATATGGCCATGTTCAAGAGGCATTTTCTCCTGATGTTTCGCCTGCATCTATGGCAAGCATCCTCAGAGGTAGTGAGATCTGTTGGAATTAAGAAAATGGGTTTATATATTTGTGGAATAACTGGGGTGGGGCAAAGAGCTCTTCTCTGCTGGAGCTAGGTGTGAATGTTTTACCTGACCACCTTCATAGCTAGATGAAAATGATCTCACCAGAGTAGCTCAGATTGCTGAGATCCTGGAAGTATTTGACTTGCGAATGATGGTGGAGAACATCACAAATAAGGAAGCCTTCATGAACCAGGAAATTACAAAGGCTTTCCACGTCAGAAAGGCTAATAGGATAAAAGAATGTCTCAGTAAAGAAACATTCTCTGGTGAGTATGCTGGGATATCGCCCGATTCACCCCATCAGTTAATCTAAAACAATCCTTTCAGAAAACACTATGTAACATGATGTTTGTTCCTGGGTTATAAATGCCATTTCATAATTGGTTCTATCATAAAAATACGGGAAAAGTTTATTTAAATGCAAAAATGGTACAACAACTACTTTCAAAGAAAGTACCACTCWATTTAACAGGAAATAAGCTTTCAAACCAGGAACAGAAAATGTTTAAAGTTTTGTTACATAGTGTAACAGTTTAATGTGCAAAGCAATCCTTACATGAGAGCCCAAAGGAGTCACAGGCAAAGCCTTTCAGATAGAGCAGCTCTGTAGCACAGCCCCATGGAGGGCGACTAAAATGATCAAGGGTCTAGAAAACATCATATTCATCATCATTTAATTGCTTATTAATCGCCCTCCATCCAAGATGATCTAGATGAACACGGTGTACTGTCGAAGGCTTTCATGGCTGGAATCACTAGGTTCTTGTGGGTTTTTTCGGGCTATATGGCCATGTTCAAGAGGCATTTTCTCCTGATGTTTCGCCTGCATCTATGGCAAGCATCCTCAGAGGTAGTGAGATCTGTTGGAATTAAGAAAATGGGTTTATATATTTGTGGAATAACTGGGGTGGGGCAAAGAGCTCTTCTCTGCTGGAGCTAGGTGTGAATGTTTTACCTGACCACCTTCATTAGCATTGAAAGGCCTGGATGAGCCTGGGGGAATCTTAACACCTCTCAATAAAAGATTCTGAGGGTGCTTGCCATAGATGCAGGCGAAACATCAGGAGAAAATGCCTCTAGAACATGGCCGTATAGCCCGAAAAAACCCACAAGAACCTAAAAAACTGTGGTCCATGCTCTGGTCACATCCCAAATAGATTACTGCAATGCACTTTACGTGGGGTTGCCTTTGAAGACGGTTCGGAAACTGCAGTTAGTCCAACGGGCGGCAGCCAGATTACTAACAGGAGCTACATACAGGGAGCATACCACCCCCTTGTTGTGTCAGCTCCAGTGGCTGCCTGTCCACTTCCGAGCTCAATTCATAGTGCTGGTTTTTACCTATAAAGCTCTATACGGTTCTGGCCCAGCTTACTTGTCCGAACGCATCTTCCTCTACGTCCCACCTCGTAACATAAGATCATCCAGGGAGGCCCTGCTCTCGCTCACGGCAACATTGCAAACGCGGCTGGCGGGGACGAGTGACAGGGCCTTCTCGCCTGTAGCCCCCCGCCTGTGGAATGCGCTTCCAAATGAAATATGATTGACCCCATCCCTCCTGGCGTTCAGGAAGAAATTAAAATCTTGGTTGTGGGACCAGGCTTTTGGACAATAAACATAAATCAGCACTTTGACTGGAAATGGATTGGCAAGATGATATGTATGAGGATACGGTTTTATGGTTCTATCAGTGGGTTTGTGGATTGAGTATTGTTTTAATGACTTATGATAATTTCGTTATAATTAACTGCTATTGTTTTAACTCTGTATGTATTTATGGTTTTATACTGTTATTGATTGTGGCATCGAATTGCTGCCTTTGTTAGCTGCTCTGAGTCCCCCCTTGGGGGTTGAGAAGGGCGGGGTAAAAATGCTGTAAATAAATAAATAAAACTATGTGTCCTTTCAGAGATCCTTAATGAAGGACATCCTGAAAAAGTGATGTCCCATTCTAGTTAGTGCATTTGACTGCAAGCAATTGGCACCTTATATTATAACTCAGTTTCTTTGATTCCATGGTTAGATGTGACATTTAAGTTGGAAGATGGAAACATCAATGCTCATAAGCCACTGCTGATCTGCAGCTGTGAATGGATGTCTGCAATGTTTGGAGGATCATTTGTGGAAAGCTCAAACAGTGAGGTATTTGTCCTTTTTATGTGTAACCTCAGCAATGTACTTTGTAGTTTGGGTTGCTAAACTGTCACAGTTTTTAAAAATGTTTTGTTTTAGCAAGAGTCTCTTTAGCTCAGACAACATTTTCACAATATTATAGATTCTAAATTCTTCTTCTTGTTAACATAATTTTGCATTAATTAGCTTTCTGGTTTCAAAGCAAATGTTGCATTTTAAAATAACGTGCTGGTATCTTCATACTGTTATAGATTAAATGGGAAAACCTAGACCAGCTCTTCGAGGCCCCATCAGTGTTGCCAGAGCTCTCCCGACGTATAGAAATGACGTGCCAGGACAACCGGGGGGGGGGGGGGGGGGAATCATACACACGTTCTCCTGCCGTGTTATAAGGATATCAAAGAAGAAGGCTGAGGAGTTGAAAAGATTTTAAATAATTTGATTTTACCAGACAGGGAAAGATATAAAATAATCCCAACACTGCTTCACCAAATTATAAGGAACTTCCCACTAAAGATTACACTGCTGTGCCTCCAATTTTAATGAATATCACACCAAGGAACTTCTTTTAGCAGGGAGACGGAACAGGGAATTCTGAAATAGTGAATCCCACAAGTTGCCAACCTCTTATAAGGAATATCACAGGAGGGAGATTGATAAAACAGGGAAATATATAACTGTGTATAGCTATATTTTAATGACGTCTGAACTGTGAGGTTTTGAAACTGTTTCTTCAATTGGGATACGCTGCCATCTTTTGTTTGGTATTCAGGCTGAGTTGTATGTGGAGAGGATACTTCAGTAGTTGAGTTGCCTGATGGCTGAGAAGAGCGGTATACACGTAAAGTAAATAAATAAATAAATATTTTCTTCAGAGGGTTTAAATCCTAATGATGTTCACACTAAGACTGTTATAATGTGTTAACAATAATAAAACATTTATTTAACAGGCTTAAACTCTTCTGGTACAAATGCGTAATGGTTTCTGTAAGTGAATGGTTACGTTTGATGTACAGTTCTTAGATGGGTACTGGGTTCAAATCTAGAGTTAACGAAACAGGAGATTATCTCAGGAAATTAATAACTGATAATAATTCCAAACAAATTTCCCCCCTTTCTGGAATCTAGTCAATAACCTTTTGGCCTAGCCTTCCTCAGGGACTGAAAACAGACCACAAGCAAGGTCCTGTTCCCACTATCTGTATTCTTGCTATCTATTTCTATAGCTCTTGAATACCACAAAAGATTAACCCAGCTCTCCTATCTAACACCAACCATTATACCAACTGACAAAATCCCCAACTGACAAATTCCAACTGCCAAACTGAAGCCTCAAAATTCAAAAAGAGTACACTTTTTTCCTCTATTGGAATGTTAGGCTCCGCCCCCTATTTCTAACCAATCCTGGCCATCTACTCTTTGTTTACTGGACTAGGACACGCCCCCTCTAAGAAAACCTGACCTAAGATGGCGTCTCCCTGTTTCCCTAATCTAAAATGGCCACCGGGGCTTCGCTAAGCCCACCTTCTAACTGTTTAGGCTGCTAGGCCTCGCTAGGCCCACATTCTGGCTGCTAAAGGTAAGGGTTCTTCACACGTATAATTTCTACATGCCAGGAGAGCTCCAGCAACACTGTAATGGAGGCCGGGTAAGTTTTGGGGGAGGGAAGGAGGGTCTCCAGATGTTTTCCCAGGCCAGTCCCAGAAGAACATCTGGACACCCACCCCAGAAAGTAGGCACTTTCTGGGGTGGGTGTGGATAGGGGCCCAGAAACATCAGCGTTTTTTAAACACGGATGCTTCTGGGATAAAGGACTGTGTGGAAGAGCCCTTGGTCACCATCCCCCCAATAGATTCATGCTCCAGCAGCCACCTTTTCTTTGAATGAATGCTACGAAGCCAACTCTGTATTCAAATGGTCTTCAGTTTGTAACCATTCCATGATCCTTCGGAATATCAAATAAAAACAAATGCATTATTTAATGCCATCTTTTAAAAGACTAACACAACATGATAAATAATGCAGAATAATTTCTTTTAATTTTATTGCTAAGAAATACCTGTGGGGTATTGTAAAACTAGGAGCAGTATAGAAAAAGAATATCTGCTATGTTTTGACTAAGGTTTGTGCTTTAAAACAAGAATGGAACTCAGTCCAACCTTAATATTTATATAAACCCAAATATTTGAATAATTTTCTAATTATCATTTTTTGGCTGTAGCACCTTTGCTTTTGGCTTACTATTGAGAGATGCACCCACATAAGGGAAATTATTTCCCTTCACATTCCTGTATCTCGGTTCCCACAGCCTTTCCCCCCTCTTTATGTATTTAATATTCTGGAAGACTGCATTCTACTTATTTTTTTCTCATTACTTTTAAAACAGCAGTAAGCATAATTCCTTCCCTAGAGGCACTCTCAGCAGGTGGTTCATTAAAAATACATACCTTGATTTTTACTAAGCAGTGTTTTACAACAGGAACATATATTCAGTTTCTACAGTCTGCTTCCTAATTATAAACCCTAATAGCCTGTTTTCTTCATGGTAACCTTAAATATTCATTGCAGAAGTATTGGATTTGCATAGTGCCATATCCGACATCTTTAAGTTTGAAAATAACAGAGTATGGAAATAAAACTGAGAAGTGGCAGGTTCTAAGGCACGTATAGCACATAAACAGTGAGACAAGTCATCATGAATGTAATGAGCTCCTTCTAATTTATTTATTGTTTTGAAATTCTGCAGAAAGAACGCTCTTCTTTTGTAGCCATTAGTCATGCATTTACATGTAATAGCCAGTACTAACTATAGAAACTCTCTCCATGGATCAAATTTGCTCTGGTTATTGTATAGGCTGGATCTCCACTCCCTATACCCCAGGATCTGATCCCAGATTATCTGCCTTTCCCAGATTATCTGGCAATGTAGACTCATATAATCCAAGTCAAAGCAGAAAATCTTGGATCAGATCCTAGAATATAGGACACTATAGATCCAGCCATAGGTATCCCAAGACTCATCACATTTTTTTAAAAGACTTTGTTCAGGGACAGTAGCCTTGCCTTCCTGTAAAGCTAAAAGATTGTGACTTTCCCAAGGTCACCCAGTGGATCTCCATGACCAATCAGAGATCTTCACTTCACTTCACTTTATTTCTTAATTAGTCGCTCTCCACCAAGGTGCTCCGAGTGACTTACAGTCTAAAAAAGCATTTACACAATATAAAAACATTCAGCATAAAAACATTCAACAGTAACTATTTGGCAAATTAAATCTGATTACTTAAATGCACAACCAAACAGCCAAGTCTTGAGTGCCTTTACAAAAGGTCGCAGCTCCGACATTGCTCTAATGTATGGAGGCAATGAGTTCCACAGCATAGATCTCCTAAGTCTCCTAGTACAACACTCACACAATTATATTACACTGATCTCTTTCAGATCTGATGTAGTCTAGATTAAAGCATTTCAGGAGATGGTGAGTCTTTGCCCTCCTCTAGTGGCAGTATTTACAACTCTTTCTTCTTTTAAAGATTGGACTCCAAATTCATTTTTGTAAAGAGACTCCATTGGATTGTTTTTGTGGCTGCCACAGACTATGTTGAATTGGTTGGCTCTACAAGATACTCATTGAAAAACTATTGCAAAATATACTACAGAATGTCCCACAAAAACAAAGGTTTTGCAGTTTAATAAACTTTTTCCATGTTTTATGATAAAACCTCTGAGAGTGCCTTGGACTGCGAGAAGATCCAACCAGTCCATACTTCAGGAAATAAAGCCTGACTGCTCATTGGAGGGGAGGATATTAGAGACGAAGTTGAAGTACTTTGGCCACATCATGAGGAGACAGGAAAGCTTAGAGAAGACAATGATGCTGGGGAAAATGGAAGGAAAAAGGAAGAGGGACCGACCAAGGGCAAGATGGATGGATGGCATCCTTGACCCTGAAGGAGCTGGGGACGTGATGGCCAACAGGGACCTCTGGCTTGGGCTGGTCCATGAGGTCATGAAGAGTCGGAAACGACTGAATGAATGAACAACAACAACATGATTGTTGTTGTCAAGGGTCTAGAGAACAAGCCCTATGAGGAGCGGCTTAAGGAGCTGGGCATGTTTAGCCTGAAGAAGAGAAGGCTGAGAGGAGATATGATAGCCATGTATAAATTTGTGAGAGGAAGTCACAGGGAGGAGGGAGCAAGCTTGTTTTCTGCTTCTCTGGAGACTAGGACACGGAAGAATGGCTTCAAACTACAAGAAAGGAGATTCCATCTGAACATGAGGAAGAACTTCCTGAGTGTAAGAGCAGTTCAGCAGTGGAACTCTCTGCCCCAGAGTGTGGTGGAGGCTCCTTCTTTGGAGGTTTTTAAAAGGGGGCTAGATGGCCATCTGTCAGGGGTGCTTTAAATGGAATATTCCTGCTTCTTGGCAGGGGGTTGGACTGGATGGCCCATGAGGTCTCTTCCAACTCTATGATTCTATGATAAAACCAATTAGGAAATAACATTTATAACCCAGGACCAAAAATCATGTTACATAGTTTTATCAGGGGCACCATTTTCCCCACATTGTATGTGAAACGGCCTATTGGGAAAGGTTTTAATCTATAAAGGAATTACACAGATTTATTCCTTGAAGGAGCTGGGGGTGGTGACGGCTGACAGGGAGCTCTGGCGTGGGCTGGTCCATGAGGTCACGAAGAGTCGGAGGCGACTGAACGAATGAACAACAACATTCCTTTCTTTGGGTTTGAAAACAAGTGTTAACACTTTCAAATCAAGTCTGCAGACATCGATAGCAATTCCTGGCTATTTAAGAAGAACGGGATATGAGTGTTTGAAATAAATAATTCTAGCTTCTTGTTTCATGTAGCTACACTAGAGAAAGTAAATATACTTGCTTATGAGACTAAACCATGTTGCCATTAAATGTGGAGAAACTCCAGCTCACTCAAAAGCCATTCTGCAGTCCCTGCAAAGAATAAATGTGGCTGGAGCTAACATATTTAA